CTATGGAAGTGTTGATACAGCTCATATGCTTATCAGGCAAGTGTAGTTATTGAAGCAGTGTTTTACATGGACACTGCTTGTTTGTGTCTGTGCTACTAAGACTGTAGTGGGTTGCTAAATGGTATGGAGAGTCTAATTTAACTATAAGCAATTTGACTGTTAACACTTTTTGACAAATACTTTATTGATTACTATTATTATTTTTATTGTTATATTTAGTAAGACAAGAAAATTGACTATCACTAATACATAGGATACAGTTACAGCATGAAAATGAACTTTTTTCAATAAACCTTAAATGTTGTATGCATCTGTCACGACCCAAACCCGCTCCTATGGGTTTAGCACCGTAACCGGCCAGTAATCCGAGATTACCGAAGGCCGACTTACAAGAATCACACACAATCAGAGTATGAAATATGGGGCTTACAAGTGCGGAAGCAATATATGTATATACAGAATCTAAATAGTCCATGAGAGCCGTGCTTAAGTCCAATGAAATGACATACATTTTTACAAGTCTTACAACTTAGATACAATAAGGAAATGAGATACAAAATACATCTTGACCAAAAGGCTTCTCAAGCCGACATATACAAGTAAAAGATTTAGTACAATCTTCTCTTAACATAACTCTAGAGGTGAACACATCTTTATACTATCTAAAATCACTTATTTTTGGACAAGTAAGGTTACTAAGTTGATCATGTATGCGAGAATATATATTAGTAGGAGTACCTATGAAATGTCTAACTATGGTATAGATTAATGTGTTAACACCATCAGGTTTGTAATAGCCAATAGTTTCATCAAAGATTGGTAAATCATTTTCATCTTTTTGATTAGCATGTAAGATTGATTCTCTTTGATCTTCAGTAAGGTATTTTTCCCACCAAGATTTGAGCATATCGGTAAAACCAGAGGTAATTAAAGAAGCAATTTCAGGTTGAGAGTAATCAGGGTAGTTAGTAAGATAACTATTTGCAACCATAGATAAGTGATTTAATTTTTGAAGTATTTGATCTTCACTAAGACCATCAATATTCCATTCGTATAATTTTTTAGCAGATATAGAAAATTGATTAGAAAGATTAGTTTCTTCATATTGGAGGTCAGGTGGAGTAGGTCGAGAATACCAATTTTTAGTAAGAGTAGCAGGTTGAGGTTTAGGATAGTGGAGTTTATTAAGATTAGAAGATTGAAATTGTTGAGCTAATTGATTGATTTCTATAGCGATCCCGGTTGTCCCTTTACTGTTCTGTTGTATTCCGGACTCGGTTCCGTGAAGTTGGTAGTTGTATCTATCTTGTTGTCATCCTTTAATTCCATTTGTTTGAGTTATAGGATGTGTTGGGCTTGTTTCAAACAGGTGGGTTGAACCTTGGTCTGAAATCTTGTTGCCAGGTTTTTGGTCGTCCCGCTCGAACGGGCCTTGTTGCGCTCGAGCGGATATTGCACACTCCTAGTTTTTCGTGTCCCTGCAAAACTTCTGCAGGTGTGATTTTTACGCTCGAGCGGGTTTCTTTACGCTTGAACGGTGGCGCTCGAGCGGGTAGTACCTTTGGGTGTAAGTTCTGGGAGGGGGAAATCTACGCTCGAGCGAACTGGTTTTCGCGCTCGAGCGGATGTGCTTTATTCTTGTGTCTTGGCGCTCGAGCGGGTCTTCTTGAGCTCGAGCGTGCCTAGTTTTTGTTCTTGACGCTCGAGCGTTGTGTTCTCCGCTCGAGCGGGAATGTCGTATATCAGTTGGCTGTGGGGCAGTTTTAAATCACTTTTTCTCATTCTTTCTCTCTCTTACTTTTTCGAAAAAGCCATTTGAGAGCTTCTCTCTCTAGAACCTTGCCTTCTCTCTAGATATTGATCTAGTAAGAGTTGTTTCCTTACCTTTGGCCTTTACAAAAAAGTTGTTGATCGTCGAGGGCTATCTTTTGATCCGAGAAACTCGTGGGTTGGAGCAACTTCGTTTTCACCATCTTCTTCGTTGGGTGTCATCTTTTGAGGTAGGGATTTCTACTCACTCTTATGGGTTTTAACCTAGATTTTGAGCTTATTGTTTAAATGGTTGATTTTGGGACTTGGGGTTTCAAAATGTGTTAAAGAGGGTTTTGTGATTTTGGGCTCATAATATGTATTTTGGGTTTCAAAATGATGATATAGTTGTTGGTTAGTGATATTGGGACCTTTGAGTTGATATTGAGAGTTGGGGGTAAAAGCCCTAATTTGTTGTTTAAAATTAATTGGTATAATTAATTTGGGAAAATTGTAGCTATATGGGATTGAGTTGGAAATAATGAAATTGACTCATTATATGGTTGAATAGTGGAGTTAGATTTATTAATCGCTCACTTTTGAAAACATTGATACTTTATCTGTTGGAGCTTTTATTATCTGTTTTGAAATAATTGCTTGGGCTACCGGTGGAGAGTAGTTTTGATTGTTGTAGACAATGCATGATGATTAGGCAAATTAAAACTAATCAATTGGTTATGTCATAGATTATGACGGTTGATAGAGTACATTAACGTTATGTATTGATTGATTGTGTATATGACCTTTGTGTATATATGTTGTGTATGTGGGAGGAGATAGGGGATGTACTCCACAGTTTAGGGGAAGATAGGGGATGGACCTCTAAACCGAATGTTGTTTGGGAGGAGATAGGGGATGGACTTCACTGACACAGCTCATATGCTTGTCAGATAATGTGTTGATACAGCTTAGATGCTTATCTTTGGAAGTATTGATATAGCTCATATGCTTATCTTTGGGAGTGTTGATATAGCTATTATGCATATCTGTTGAAATGTGGATACAGCTTGTGTGCTTATCTGTTGAGATGTTGATACAACTAGTATGTTTATCTACTGTGAAAATGGGAAATGTTTAATATGAGTCACTGTCTCATATAAGTGGTTGGCCAGGTTCTGAGCCATTGATGTAAATTGTGAAATTGATAAGAAATGGAAATTGAAGTGAAACATGAATATGGTGGTCATGAAAATGGAAATGGGTTATGAATTGGTTTATGGAAATTGAACATTTATCAATTTCTAATGTCTTAGTTATTGCTCATACTGTGTTTAGCATATCTCTACTGGGCGTTGGCTTACCCTTTTGGGACATTATTTTCAGGTACAGGTAGTATGCCACCTCCAAGGACATAGCTTGGATGATGACGAGAGTTGAAGACTCTTTTGTTTATTTTGTTTGTATTGCATGTATATCAAGCCAAGGGCTTATTTTTGTATAGAGTTAGTACTCTTCTTTTGTGTAACCAAGTGTTAACTTGGAAAGCTGTAAGCCCATAGGGCATTTGCTTTTGTTGTTAACATGTAATACAGTTATAAGAATTACTCTGATGAATAGAAATGGTTGGTTTCTTTTATATCAATGCATGTTTAAAGTAATGGGTTTTATGTATTTTTTTTGAGGGCGTTACAATTTCATTATCAGTTGTATCAGTTTCTGATTGAGTAGAAGCCTTGTCTAAAGGTTGGTTTAGGACAGTAAGACCTTTTTCTTTAGATGGTGAAGCTTGTTCAAAAGTAGCTAATTTAGTGAGTAGTTGTTCTATAGCTTTAACAGTAGAAGTATCTTGAGTGACTAAACTATTTCTTTTAGAACGATTACTGGGTAAACTAATCAAAGGTTGATCTAAAGATTGTTTAGTGGATGTGGTGTTAGCAGAATAATCATCTAAATTATTTTCTAGTTTATCTAATTGTTTACCAATTGTTTTTAAACATTGATTAGTATAATTATTTTGTTCAATAACTTTTTTAATTTTAGGGTCAGTGCCAGGCAACTTAAAAGGAGAGTTTGGGACTTCGGATCCTTAATGTTCAATAATGATATTAGATAAAGGAGGATGACTAGAGCTAACAGTTGTATTAGGAGAAGTTTTCCATTTATGTTTTGTGATTGTATTTACTTTTTTTGTAATAATTTTCTAACACTACATTTGACTATGTTAAATCCACCACTACTAATCTCTTTTTCAAAGAACCTAGTCACCCAAAGAGTCATACTGTTCATGATCTGGTTAAATCTTATTTCCCTCCTGGATGGCATTTTATCAGAGCCAAGTTATGTTGCTATTTTGTGTTGCTATTTGTTGCTTACTGTCTTGTTAATTCTACTTAATCTTTCTCTATTCTGCTTCGTTTCTGCCTTCAGTCATCTTATTCTGTCAAATTTTTATCTGTGTCTTTCCACTTTGTAACTAGCCACCCAATCCCAGTCCTTAATAAGTCCTTTGGTTAGGCAGTGTTGGATTTTAGGGGTCATCCGAACTGGGTATCTGTGAAAACATAGTATGTGAAAACATGATAAATTTAGACAATGTATTAAGGTTCCTGTAAGTCATTTACCCAGTCAGAACCATGAGTCGATTATTTAGAAGTAACTCGTCAGTCAGCTCTAGGTCAACTACGTTGCCCTCAATACCTAATCAAGGATTAGTAATTAATGAAGAAAATGTTGAAATACAAAATGATAAAATTGATTTAAGTTGGAATATACCAAAATTATCCGTTAAAGAAATTTACAAAACTACTTTTTTACAATCTGCATTTCATGTTAATTTGGTAGCGTTTGGTAACGTTTACGTTTTCAGTTTATATTTACAAAAATTTTATAAACTAGTTTTTGTTTATTTTTTGAAAAACATAAATAATAAACTCGTTTGGTTTGGACAAAATGTTTGAAAATTTTTGAAAACATAAACTAAAAAACATGTTTGTTAAGGCCTAATTTTTTTTTATTTAATTTTTTTTAATTTTTTTAATTTTAAATTTTTTTTTAAATTTTTTTTTGACAATAGGATCATACACATTATCCATAATAATCATATTGATACAATACCAACCATAGATAAATTTAATAACCATAATAAACCATAATGTTCATAACAACTTACAAACCATAATAATAACATCTCAATTCTTCCACAAACCATAAAAAAACATCTTCCACAATCTATTATACGCATAAATAATATTTCAATTGTTTCCGAGAGATTCCCAAATTTGACCAGCAATTTGATTCCTTACATCAGACATTTGACGTAATTGGGGTTGACTAATGTCTAAGTCAATTGGTTGCTGAGAACTACTTCCTGCATGTGTCGAGCTGCTACTATCACCTCCACTAGGCCCATTATCTTCAAAGATACGATCTGGATTGGCCCATTCAGTGAACAATGTGTCATTTTGAGAATGTGTCCTTATCCAGTTGTGTATTGTACAGCATGCAATGGGGATGTATCTCTGCGTCTTAGTTGAATACGGAGGCATGTCTCTCAAAATTGGAAAACGAGCCTTCAAGACACCGAAGCATCTCTCAATCACATTGCGCAGTGAGGAGTGTCGGTAATTGAACATTTGCTTCTTGTTTCTTGGTTGTCGACGTTGATTACGAAACTCATTTAGATGGTACCTCTCACCACGGTATGGCGATAAAAAGCCAGGCATATTTGTATAACCCGAGTCGACAACATAGTATTTATCTGTTCAACATGTATGTATCTATTATTATGGGTTGACAAAAGAATATTCATTATAAATTAACAAAATGCCATATAATACGTACCTGTTGGTGGCATTGGAAATAAATTTGTTGGATCATGTACGGTTTCAATGAACACTCTTGAATCATTTGCAGTGCCCTCCCAACCGGCCAATACATACGTAAATCGCATATGAAATGAGCAAACACACATTACATTTTGCGTTGTAACTGTATGCTTACCCCGATATGGTATTTGCTCTGATGCTGGCACCCTTGCAGATATGTGGGTACCATCAATTGCTCCAACACAATCCTATTTGACAAATGACTTTAATAATGTAGGATATTTTACTAAAATTTATATTTCAAATATTCTGTTAGTGATTACCTTAAAAAAAGGATAGAAGCGTGGATTATGTCGAATTTCTGCAGGCACCTCATCAAAATCTGGAGGCCTTATAACTTGTTTACCAAGCCTACACACTGCCTTCAAGACTCGGTTGAAATATTTGGAGATGGTTTGGCCAGAATGTTGGAATCGCTCTTGGACAACACGATTTCGTTCGTTGTGACCAATTGTTAGCAAAAATATACAAACTTGCTCTTGGACAGTCAGATAACGTGAGTGTTCCAGTTTACCATATACCTTAAGTGACTCGCACAAATTAATAAATACATCTGGTTCCATTCTGAAATTTTCCTTGGACCATCTTTCATGGCCATTCAATATTTCTAATACGTAGTCATGTCCTTGTAATATGGACGTTCGGCATGGTCTAGGTTGAAGGTAAGTATTACAATACTCATGTAGTGCTACACACACCAGAAATTGTATATTTTCATCGTCACTGTCTGAGTCAAAACTCAAATCAAGAGCATGCATCGGCTCCATATATATCACTGTGATATAGTGCTGACCCCTTAAAAACAAAAGTATTAGTGATAATGAAAATACATGAAATAATGGTCACATAATAATTTTTTCTTTCATTGAATTTTTTTTCAGTTTGGTAACCATTTTGTTTGGTCCAATTCAAATGTTGGCTCCATATATTTTAATTTCATATCACTTTAAAATAATTAAAATAACCCACATCTAGTAATGTCCAATTCAAATGTTGGCTCCAATTTATTATTACAACAAAAAATGATAAAAAAATAAATCAAGATCAAGATCAAGATCAATTTACATTATAATCAAACATATGATATACACCTTTTAAAAAATGTCTCATAGAATTGGCGATCATGCATATGGTAAGATTATTTTAAATCATAACAAAACAAATAGTGGAGACTTTTAAGGCCAAAGTTTCTAGTCTCTTTCTTTATTGTATGACTGTACCACATTTTCTTTATTTATGCTGTAGACCAAAATAAAGAGAAATATTAAATTTAGTCATCCCCATGCACACATACTCCATATAGTCATCGTTTTTGCAAATTGCTTTTCAATCTATGAAGTGGGTATCTCATCTCTATGTTAATTGGGTGAGCCATCTAATACTACGCTGTTGTTTATAGTATTCTTTGTTTGGCTGTGAAGGCAACATTTATCATGTTCACAAAACTACTGGATACTCTATCAAAGACCCTCAGTAACCATAGTATGGAGAAATCTATTGTCAAGATCATTTGGACTCGTAGCAGAAGTATAGCGATCTCGGATTTACCCTTGTTGTACAGTGGTCCGGACATGTGTCCGTGGGTGTTGATAGTTGATTATTATCTTGTTTACATCCTTTGTTACTTTTTATTTGAGTTATAGGATGTATTGGGCAGGTTTGTTATAGGTTGGTTGAGTTTAGAAACCAAAACTAGTTGCCCAGATTTTTGCCTGTCCGCTCGAGCGGGTCTTCTTGCGCTCGAGCGGGGAATACACCCATCCAGTATTTCGTGTCTCTGCAAAACTTCTGCAGATGTGATTTTTGCGCTTGAGCGGGTTTGTTTACGCTCGAGCGGTGGCGCTCGAGCGGGTCGGTGGGCGCTCGAGCGGGTAGTGCTTCCAGAGTATAAGTTCTGGGAGGGGGAAATCCACGCTCGAGCGGACTGGTTTTCGCGCTCGAGCGGATATACTTTATTCTTGTGTCTTGGCGCTCGAGCGGGCATTATTGCGCTCGAGCGTGTCCAGAGTTTTGTTCTTGGCGCTCGAGCGTCGTGTTCTCCGCTCGAGCGGGTCATACGTATATGAGTTATCCGCTGGGTGATTTCAAATCACTTTTTGCTTTTCTTTCTCTCTCCTACTTTTTCTAAAAGCTATTTTGAGAGCTCCTCTCTTTAAAATCTTGCCTTCTCTCTAGATTTTGATCTAGCTAGGGTGAGTTCCTCACCTTCGGCCTTTGTAAAAGTCGTGTTGATCGTCGAGGGCGTCGTTTTCATCCGAGAATCTTGGTCTTTGGAGCATTTTGATTTTGGTCTTCATCTCCTTTGGAGCTCAAACTTTGAGGTAGGGATATCCTACTCCTCTCTATGAATTTTGTCTTTAAATTTTAGTATTTTGAGATGTTGGGGTTAGTTTGGTAATTTTGTGAAAGTTTAGGGCCTTTGTGTCATTTTACAAAAGTTGGGGTTTTATCTATGATAAACCTAGATGCGTGTTTGGCATAGAGAAATGGAATGAATGTGGAATCATGGATGAAAATGGGACCTAAGAGTTGTAATGTTAATTTATGGAAAAATGACCTAATTACATTGTTTGATTAATTGGGATAATTAATTGTGGGAAATGAGGAGTTGAATTGAGAATATAAATATTGAAAAGGGAAGGGATTAAAGGGTGTAGTTGGATTATTTATCGCTCACCTAGTTGGAATGTCGATTATATATCCATTGTTGCTTTTATTTTCTGTATAGAAATAACTGCTTTGGGCTATCGGTGGAGGATAGTCGTGACTGTTGTAGACAATGCATGATGATTAGGCAAACTGAAACTAATCACTGGAATGTGTCATTGAGATTGATGATTGAAAGAATACATTAAATTTATGTATTGTGTGATGATGTGTATAATTGTTGTTTATATGCATTGTGTTGTGTTGGAGGAGATAGGGGATGTACTCCACGGTTTAGGGGAAGATAGGGGATGGACCTCTAAACCGGATGTTGTTGGGAGGAGATAGGGGATGGACTCCGTAGATACAGCTCATATGCTTATCTAGTGATGTATTGACAGAGCTCATATGCTTGTCATTGGAAGTGTGATAGTGCTCATATGCATATCTGTGGAAGTGATGATATAGCTGGTATGCTTATCTGTTGTTGTGTGATATAGCTAGTATGCTTATCTAATATGAAATGGGAAGTGTTTGATATGAGTTACTGCCTCATATGAGTTGTTTGGCCAGGTTTTGAGCCATGGTTGAAATTTGAGAATTGAAAGGAATTGAGAAATGAGTTGTAATATGAACTTGTATATCATGAAAATGTAATATGTGATAAGGGAAGGTATCAGTGTTGACCATCTATCAACTGCTAATCTTTTAGTCATTGTTCATATTTGGTTTAGTATGTTTCTGCTGGGCTGTGACTCACCCCATATGGGAATATCATTTTCAGGTACAGGTAGAATGCCACCTCCAAGGACATAGCTTGGGAGGCTAGAGACGGACACACTCTGTCGCTTTATTTTTGATGTATTACATGTAAATTCAAGCCAAGGGCTTAATGTGTAAATGAGTTAGTACTCTTTTGTTGTAACCAAGTGTTAACTTGGAAAGCTGTAAGCCCGTAGGGCATTTTGCTTTTGTTGTTAACTTGTAATACTTTTGTAATGAAACTCTGATGAATAGAAGAATGTGGTTATTTCATGTGTCAATGAATGTCTTATTTGATGGGTTTAATGTTATTATTTTGAGGGCGTTACAAGAAGCATAAGTTATCTTCACTTCCAGCAGCTACAAACAGGGGAGAACTACAAACAAGCCTTTGTAATACTAGCCAATGTTTGATTTCTATTAAATGAAATCTCAAATTCACACGTTAGAAGCTCCAAAATTTCAGCAAAGGAACTCAAATCAATGCCCTTTCATTGGGGCATTTTATCAAACAGGTAATTTGCACACACACACACACACACACACACACACACACAAAAGGTTCATCAAACCTCCCTATTTAGGCCTCATAATCAGAGAGACTTGGCTTATTCACAAGAGTACCAAATTGTTCCAAATTAAAATAATCCACATCTAGTGATGTTTCATATGACTTCAAAATTGGACCAGATGTTTCATATGACTTCAAAATAATTCATGCCAGAAACCCACATCTAGTGATGTTTCATGTGACTTCAAAATTTAGTGAATGTTAGACACATTGACTAGAACAGAACAGTATCAATAATCTAGACACATTGACACATTTCATCGAACAGGTAATGGAAAAAACAATGTTGACAATACAATGACATAAGAATTTTATATAGAAGAAGATCATACATACCTTGCAATGCAGTGTTGAGAATGCAGTGATACAATGTTGACAATGCTTCCTATGCAATGTTGACAATGCAGTAAAAAGAGCATACTACTAACAAACATTATATAGGAGAAAGAGCATTCAATACTTTAACCAACCATAAACTACCATAATAAAAATAGCCTGCATACTAGTACAATATTATATCAGTAATGGAAAGCCTGCATACCATTTACTCAATTTGATATCTACCCATCTACCAATCTACCCATCTCTTTGCAGTACAATATTAAAAACACCAGTAGAATACACCTAACTCTGTTTCCATAATAAATTATTCTGAAAAAAATAAAATAAAAACTACAATACAACAGTTATCCAACAATACAAGCTTGTTCACAGAATACACTAAGTCTGTTACAGCACAAAAGATTATCCAACAATACAACAGTTACAGTACCAAATATAAACTTCCATAATAAGTCTGTTTCCATAATAAACTACCAAATAAATTAAACAACACAAACACATACCACACTAAATCTGCACTCTCTCAAAGATTAAGGACCCAATCCCTCATCCTACTAGCAGGCATATCAACAAATACCTCCCTTATTATGGGATCCGATGCAAGCTTGTTCACAGCTTTAGTGTAAGCAGCAGCAGAAATTTCCTCCATACCATGCAATAGTGCCATGCACTCTTTCAGTAATGAACGTGATGGAGTAGAGCCACCTTCAATTGAACCACTGTCATCGCCAACATTAGTAACTGAAGCACTTGTGAAACGCTTTTCTATTAGGTTCACCTTCCTCTTGCTATTTTCACTCATTTCTTTGAGTGCTTCAGAAATATTAGCTTGAAAAGAGCTCCTCTTCTTACTCTTTTTACCTCCCATTTTGCTCTTGCCTTTGCCCTTGCCCTTGCCCTTGCCTTGGCCATCTCCATTTTCATTATCACTATCAATTTGCAATGCATCTAACTCCTCATTCTTTACCTTAAATTCAGGATCAGAACTGGCACTGCTTTCAGAAGGTGATTTGGTGGAAGGAAAAGCTAGTTTACCAGTTGCGGATATGTCTCCTAAGATACGAGACAACTCATGGTAGTAAACCATCCCTTTCTTCCTAAACCTCTTTGCATGGGTATTAACCTACAAATCAATGAATTTGAAGTTAACATGAAGAATTCTCTAATTAAATGTAGTAAAGAAAATGCAAAAAGTTAATTAAACCTTGTAAAGGGCTTCCCAAACATCATCCGGTGCAGTGA